AACTGGCGGTCAGTTTCAGCAGCGGCTGAATCTGGACGCCAGTTCCGACTTACATACAGATTCAACTTAAGAACAAACCTACAGTCCCTATCTTGTACGTAACCCGGGGACTGCCTGTATGTCAGAAAATGTGGTTTGATATGAATTTGATGTTTTAGTAGTGGTTGATGCTTTGTAGAAGTCATGCACTAGCTGCTTTAAGCAACAGACGTGAGAAGACAGCGGCTGAATCTGGACGCCAGTTCCGACTTACATACAGATTCAACTTAAGAACAAACCTACAGTCCCTATCTTGTACGTAACCCGGGGACTGCCTGTATGTCAGAAAATGTGGTTTGATATGAATTTGATGTTTTAGTAGTGGTTGATGCTTTGTAGAAGTCATGCACTAGCTGCTTTAAGCAACAGACGTGAGAAGAAAACATCCACAAAACTGTCCTCCTGAACTCTCTTCACAATGCTGGCTATTTTAATAATGGATTTAATAAGCTCTTACATGGATTATAAAGAATGAAGACAAGCCCCTTAGCTATAGATTTTCTGCCTTTTTATGCTGTTGGCAAAGAGGAAATTATAGCCAAGCAAAAAAAAATCAGGAGTTTTAATCAAGTAGGTTACTATTTGAGAATTAGTCAAAAAATATAGCAAATAGTCAACATAAAAAAAATGTCTTGCTACCCTCCAGCAAATTACTTTGATGGGCTGAATGCCCAAGATTGTTGATCCCTGTCCTAGAGGCATAAATTGTTAGTTGCCCAAATGTAGAAGAACATTTTGGAAACCACCTGCTTCATTTTATTACCAGCCACTGAACCAGGCTTTCTTTAGATATGCTGTATTTATTATTTCTTTAGTATTAAAAAGTATTATTTTAAATTTCAAAGGACAGATTCATCCCTGAACTCAATGAACATCAGTGATGAATTCTAGGGGTCAAGCCTGCCCTTACCTGGTGAAATTGCACAGGTAATGAGGGAAATCATGACAACAGCTAGTTTCAGAAGATGCTCCACCTGCCTGCTGTGTACACCATGCCAGGGATATGTGGGCCATTCTGCTGATGCAGAATAGTACAGCTCAAGAAATATATCAATTTGGAAAGAGTTGGGGTTTTGGAGTGAGTAGTAGGAGTGAAATGCTGCATAATGCTGGTCCTTTAGAAGGTCACTGTCAACATCCTAATAAAATGAATAGCAAAAATACACACTGGTTTTTGGAAGAAAAGGTTCACATTCAAAAGAGCAATGTGCCTCCCCTGCTTGTATGCAGTGCACAATTTACACCACAAAGGTCATACCAAACCATCCGAATTATATACTTCTTGAAGACTATGAAGCATAGATGAATCCAATAGCCAGCATCTCTCCTAGAATGGATTTAAATAATAGAATCATAGAGCTGGAAGAGACCTCAGGAGGTCATCAAGTTCAGCCTCCTGTCCATGGCAGGACCAATCCCAACTAAATCAAACCAGCCAGGGCTTTGTCAAACTGAAACTTAAAAACCTAAAGGGATGGAGATTCCACCACCTCCCTAGGTAACCCATTCCAGTGCTTTACCACCCTTCTGTTGAAAGAGTTTTTCTTAATATCCAACCTAGACCTCTCCCACTGTAACTTGAGACCATTGCTCCTTGTTCTGCCATCTGTCACTATTGTGAACAACCTTTCTCTGTCCTCTTTGGAACCTCCCTTCAGAAAGTTGAAGGGTGCTATCAAATCCCCCCTCACTCTTCTCTTCTATGACTAAACAAACCCAATTCCCTCAGCCTCTCCTCATACGTCATGCACTCCAGCCCCCTTATCATTTTGGTCACCCTCAACTGGACCCTCTCCAATGCATCTACATCCTTTGTATAGTGGGGGTGGGCCCAGAATTGGACACAATACTCCATATGTGGCCTCACCAGAGCTGAATTAATGGGAATATTCACTTCTCTGGATCTGCTGATCTTTTGGCCCAATCTTCTAATCTGTCCAGATCACTCTGGACCCTATCTCTGCACTCCAGTGTATCTACCTCTCCCCCTAGCTTAGTGTCATCTGTGAACTTGCTGCGGGTGCAATCCATCCACTCGTCCATGTCATTAATAAAGATGTTGAACAAAACTGGTCCTAGAACAGATCCTTGGGGCACTCCACTAGAAACTGAAGGCCAACCTGACATTAAGCCATTGATCACTACCCATTGGGTCCAACAGTCTAGTCAGCTTTCTATCCATCTTACAGTCCATTTATCAAATCCATATTCCCTTAACTTACTGGCAAGAATATTGTGGGAGATGGTATCAAAAGCTTTGCTAAAGTCAAGGTATATCACATCCATTGACTTTCCCATATCCACAGAGCCAATTACCTCATCATAGAAGCTAATCAGATTGGTCAGGCATGCCTTGCCCTTCGGGAATCCAAACCATTCCTGATCACTTTCCTCTCTTCCAATTTCTTCAAAATGGATTCCTTGAGGATCCCCTCCATGATTTTTCCAGGGACTGAGGTAAGGCTGACTGGTCTGTAGTTCCCTGGATCATCTTTCTTCCCTTTTTAAAAGATGGGCACTACATTTGCCTTTTCCCAATCATCTGGGATCTCTTCTGATCTCCACAAGTTTTCAAAGATAATGGCCAAAGGCTCCGCAATGACATTTGCCAACGCCCTCAATACCTTCAGATGCATTAAATCTGGGCCCGTGGATATGTGTATGTTTAGCTTTTCTAAATAATTCCTAACTTGTTCTTTCCCCACCAAGGGCAAGGTGTACCGGTAGTTCGGAATAGGAAGCTTAATCTGAACTACCTAGTCCGTGCCGCGTGTAGCCGTGGGCACGGAGTCCGAACTAGCGGACATTTAAAAATGGCGGCGCCCGGCAAGATGCAAATGAAGCCCGGGAAATTCAAATCTAGTTTGAACTAAGGTGGTAGTGTAGACATATCCTGAGGAAGTGAAAGTCTGCTTTTCTGAAGTCCAGGGTGTGTATTTAGCTACTCTCCTTTCTTCCTTGGTCAGGATCTTGCAATCTACCATCTCGTGATCACTGCTTCCCAGATTGTCACCCACTTTTACTTCCCCATTAGTTCCTCTCTGTTTGTGAGCAGCAGGTCAAGCTGTGCATGGCCCCTGGTTGGTTCCTTCAGCACTTGTACCAAGATGTTATCCCCAACATTCTCCAAAAATGTCCTGAATTGTCTGTGTACTACTGTATTGGTCTCCCAACAGATGTCAAGGTGATTGAAGTCCCCCAGGAGAACCAGGGCCTGAGATCTGGAAGCTTCTCTCAGTTGTCTGAAGAAAGTCTCATCTACCTCATCCACCTGATCCAACTGTCTATAGCAGACACCAACCATAACATTACCTTGTTGCTTCCACCTCTAAACTTAACACATAGACTCTCAACAGTCTTTTTTCCCTCTAAATGCTGGCTCTGAGCAATCTCACTTCTCTCTTACATACAATGCAACTCCTCCTCCTTTTCTCCTCTGCCTGTTCTTCCTGAACAGTTTATACCCTTCAATGGCATTTCTCCAGTCATGCGAATCATCCCACCAAGTCTCCGTTATGCCAACTGAAATCATAGTTCTTTGACTGGGTGAGGGCTTCTGATTCTTCCTGTTTGTTTCCCAGGCTTCTCGCATTGGTGTACAAACACCTTAGATAATCATAGATGTGCTTCCTAGAAAATGTTCTCTTTCCTTTCAATACACCTGTACACGATTCTTTTTCCTAAATCCCTGGTTTTCCAAGATGTATTTAGGCTCATATTTATTCTAGTTCATCCTCTGGTGAGACATATTTGCTGAACTAATTATCTGCATATCTGATGAAAACAATTTGTGGAATTTAATATTCTGGTATTTAATAGATCCAGAGTCTACTTAAACATGTATTTTGAACTAAACAAGGTTCTCATTAGACTGATACTAATTATATTTATCTCTACTTCATGTTATGTCACATCACATTCATCCACAATGAAAAATGAAGTAACTTCTAGTTGGTAATATAGGGTAATAAAATGAAGGCTTTTCTTTACTTCTGATACATAGGGTAGTTTTTTGATTTATAGCCAATTTGTAATATTGTTAACATAGAGAAAGCAAAATAGAAATATCCCAGAAAGCTCTGAAGAAGTTAGAATTATTGATCTTAAAAGCACTTCAGTTGCAGTTTGGATTCCTGGTATTGTGATTTGACTATACAGTAAAGTATATCATATCTTTACATTTCTTTCCTACCACTGAAGTGTCAGAGGTTCTAAGTATTGTAATATTTTATTAGCATATGCATGATATACTTTGTTTGTTAAAGTGTCTTTCTCCTAAGGGAACTAACTAACTTACCTCCATTTTGTCTCTTCCAAGATGCTGAAGGTCTATAGGTTATAAAAAACAAAATCAGAACAGTCCTTCCTCTATATAGTAGAATCAGTGCTGCAGCTGGCTTTAGGAAGCACTGAGCTGCTAGAAATACTTTTTTTTTTACTAGATGGAAAGATAAACAAACAAAAAGAAACCCCGGCAAATTTTTTTATTACATATCCCACACAACACATTTGTTAAGAGCGGGCGTTCATGACTTGGTGTCTTGAGTTCAGTACTTAACTGGTTAGATTACAGAATTCCTATCTTACTTTCAATAAGTCAATTAACCTTTCTATGCCTTAGTTGCTTCAGTTTCCTATCTATGAAAATCTAAATGAGCAGACTGCATTAGTCTGACTTATCTATTTTTTATAATTTGGGGGGAGACAGTGTTTATATCTTACCATGATTATATTCAGGCTACAGCACCCAGTACCCGTGACCTCTTGATGCTACTTTAATATAAATAATAGTAAATCACAATCAATGAAAATTAATAACTTCTAAGGAAAGTCTTCCTTATGCAATACTTAAAACTATAATTTAATTTGTAATGAAAGAGATGCCAGAGATCAAGCTTTTTTTTTAAATTTACTTTTATAGCTGATGCAGCAAGACCATAGGTGCCAGGGCTGACTCCTGGGAAGCCCTGGTGAAAAATAAGCACTGTGTAAATCTAACAGTACTACTGGAATTCTTTTTTAGCAGAATATTTTCCCATTTTAAATAAATGTAAACTGTCATATGTCCTTTTTTGAAGTTTGGCACTGGTATTTCTTGCAGAGAAAGAGAAGTTGTAGACCATCTAAGGTTAGAATTAAGGAAATAACCATTTCAAATGAAAAAAAAATCATTCCTTTTCAAAATTGTGCTGTATCTTTAAGATTAACTTGCAGTACACAATAACTTTGTACTTTATCTCATGTTTTTCACAGTGTTTTGCAAGTGGAGTTCTTCATCTAATAAGACTACAGAAAAGTTATGACTACTAACTAAACACAGAAATGAGAGTCTCTTTTCCTAGTAATGAATTCATGTAGCTTTGTGTATGTGAATAGGACTTACACATGTACCTCAGTGGGTGAACAGAGCACAATAATATCCCTAAATCTGTAAAAGGGACCAAAATATGCTGCCCTTGAATAGTATTTCCAGAAATATACACTATAATAGACATTCTCACTGAATAGTTACTATGCCTCAGGGTAGTGGGTTAAAATATTATTCATGGGTGAAATTCTACAAAGCACTAACATGTTGTGCATTAATGGCTCACATAGATCCCGATGGTGCACTTTAGCATAGTCATATTTGAAACAGGACTACATTCACATACACTGCAGAACCTTTAGGGTATGTCTACACTTGCACCCTATTTCGAACTAAGGATGCAAATGTAGGCATTCGAAATAGTCAATGAAGTGGGGATTTAAATATCCCACACTTCATTAACATGATCTCACCGGCTCGTTACTCTGAACAATAGCTGTTCTGAAAGTGAAAGTGCGTGACGGAATGCCTTAGTTTGAACCATACCCCTTGGTTCGAACTAACATTACTCCTCAAAAAATGCCCTCAAAACATTACTTCTCAAAAAGTGCTCCATTGACGGATCCATGTAGATGAAGCAGGATGACAAAGGAAAATTAAGTGGCAATTTAAATAATCGCCACTTCATTAAATCAAAATGGCCGCCGTGCTGTGCTGATCAGCTGTTTGTCAGCACAATGCAACAGTCTAGATGGGAATCTGCCGACCCCAGAACCCTTCGTCAGCAGATCCTTTATGGCTTGTGAAACGAGGCTTACAGGATCTGCCAACAAAGAGTTCTGGGGTCGGCAGATCCCCATCTAGACTACCGCTCTGTGCCAACAAACGGCTGATCAGCACAGCGCGGCAGCCATTTTGATTTATATGAAGCAGTGATTATTTAAATTGCCACTTCATTTCTTCATTTCCCTTTGTCGAGTAAACTAATCTACATGGTTCCATCGACAGAGTCATGTAGTTTAGACGTACCTTATCTGTTGTCATTTTATCTGTTTTAGGATGAAATTCCGAAGGGGTAGTGACACAAATTTAACGATGACAGATTGTTGAACCTTGATACTCTTCTATCAAATAAAAGCCCTTGGATAAAGATGGCTAGTACAAAAAAAAATCTGTTGCCCCAGGTAACTGTGAAACGGATCATGTGAGATGTGCCTTGGATTATCTGGGGAGGATGATCAGGGATCTTCTGACAGAAGGGATGGAAACTTTACAAAAGGAGAACATTTTCATCAGCCATCTTAAAGAAACACAGAAGAGACCAGAAGCAGATGGGCAGGTGGGAAGGGGGAGGGTCCTGAATGCCCTAGATGTCTCTGACCTAAAATGAAAGAATGCTCCAGAATGGAGAGAATGATGCCAGAAGAGTATGGAGTTTTTGTGATGTTTTGTCTGAATCCATATATCTCTTGTGCCAGGTAAAGTAAAAAGTGAGTCTTTTAGAATCCCTTTGGCAAAATTTGTATTATGTGCATCAGCTATCACATGTCCCTGGAGAGGTAAACTGAAAACCACAATGTATTGGAGAATTCACTTTGGTTAAAATATGAATACTGTTTAACCTTAGTCATACCCTTGACACAAATCTATCAATACTTCTTTTTAGAACTAGGAAGATTTAGGTAAGTCATCTGTCATGGCTCCTTCCCCACTCTGGCATGATAAATGCAGAAGTGGGGGCCAGCAAGTGTACCCCAAAGCCTTATCTACCAGGCTTTGGCATAAAACTTCCCCCAAGATGTTAAAACCCTAGATCTTGGGAATAAAACTTCCGCTGCCACCACCCAAATGTTGCTAAAGAAACCAGGGGAAAGATCATTTGGGAAATCTCACCCCTAAAATAAAAATCAGGACACACTATTAACCACTGCCAGGTTAATAAAAGAAAAGAAAGAACTTTTTATTATTACAACAATATTCCTGTTGCAACATAATGACTAGATAGGGAGGTAACAAAATATACTCATGGAGAAACTCCATGGGCCTAGAACTTAGTTACAAAGAAAAGCCAAAACATCTTTTAAGCAGTGCCAGATCTCAGATCCCATACCCAATCCATAAAACAATAAAACCTAACGAAACTACCTAAACTTTACCCTACTTACAGAAAATGAAGAATGGTGTCTTGGAGAGAGAGAGACATGCTTGTCCCTCTCTGTAGCTGCAGAGAACTCTCTCAGAGAGACAAAAGGGAGAAAAGAAAAAAAAACCCAAATTCCTTTGTCCCAGTTGGAAAAGTCCCACCTACTGGCTAGGTGTAGTTAACCCCTTAATTCCCAGGCTGCTGGCTAACCCTCATAATCATGACACCATCCTCTCCCAAATTTCAAATTAATTGGATGAAGATTAAGGATTCCTAATATGGTCCATAGGGCCTTGGACTGTACATATTCCATACACACATTGTTTATCTATTGAGTCATCTTGGATGACATCCTTTCACTGTTCAAGATGACTGATATTCTTTGTTGACCCCAAACATCAATATCTTTATGTATGAAGCCACTTTATAAATATCTACCCATGATACTCATGTTCCTAAGAGCTGCAATTCTTTACATTCTAAGATGGCTATATGAGGGGGCTAGAAAAGGAGGAGGAAAGAGAGCCACTGGATGAAGGGTTACAGTCACAGCAGATTTTGTAAATTAGTCTTTGGAAAAGTGAGAAAGAGGTTGCACAAAAAAGGGAAAAAGAAAGGGGAGAGAAGGCAGTACTTTAGAAGTTAATCCAAGGGGCAATACCTTGTGGCAGAAATGGCTACATTCTGATTTTTGTGGAAATGAACAAGCACAATGAAGATCAGCTGACCTATATTAAAGAACAGGTATTCTGAAAAGTGCACAGTTAATTACATACACAAAAAATGTTGAGTTGCTCATATATATGAAATATGCACATTTTTGGTAAGCAGACATTGTTGTTTCCTTCTCTGTGCCTTTTATCTCTTGGAGGAAAATCACTATTACAGATGTTTCCTAAAGGTATGAGGAATTCTCTTTGACACTCTGTGTGGGTGGATTTCAAACACGTTCGCTTCAGTTGTATGCAGCATTATTTTCTGGAACAAAAGATGCTCAATTCCTTTCTTAAAATGTTGATAAAAAATCTGAGGCAATGAAAAAGTAGAGTGAACAATCTTTACGTACTTCAGTGAAGACATACACATATGAGTAAAATTTCATTGACTTCAACAAGCCTACTCCTGTAAGTAAGTGCTCACCAATGTGAATAATAATGCTTGAAAAACTAAGACACAAATAACATTGCAAATGAAGGTCAAGACTGTATTATTTAGGCAAAGCCCATAGCGTTGTGTGATGTAAAGTCAAACTGCTTCAGGAGCAGAAGAATGCATGCCTATTACTGCATTCCGTTCTGGGATATGGTATATTTCCCCTGCACAGCTTCATTAATTAAGCTCCAGTCTTGATTAAACAAGTGTTGGCAGGTTTAATGCATAGTAAGGCTTTTGATCTCCTTAAATTGCAAATAATATTCTAAAAGACAAAATATGTCAAGAGGAAGGCCAAAAATTCTCCTGTTATGAGCTCTGAATACTCATGAATTCCATTGTTTTCAAGCATACATCTTTTAATTTAATTAGAAATTCTACTGTGCACACTCAATATGCAATTTTTGAAATTGGTTAAATGAACATTGTTAAATGAAAATAGGTTATTTCCCCTGCAAAACTCAAATTAAGTAAAGGTTTTGTTCCCAATCCATGACAGCATCCATGCCAGCTTTCCCCTGTCATTTGTCGGTTATTTTTCTTATAGTCTTTTTTCAAAAGAGACTATAACTAGAATGATCACAAGTGAGAAAAATGTATGTTCTCCTCTCTCACTTATAGCACAAAACCAGACAAAAGGATTTCATTAAAACTTTTCAAACCAATTTACCTTCAGGCAGAAATCAAAAAGGGAAAATGTCAGCCCCAAAGTGGAACATTTTAGAAAGTTATGAACAAATGAAAATGAGCAGTTATGAACAAGAGAAAATAATAAATATTTTGCAATATTAAGTATATCTGTAGGTGCATGAATGATATCGAAAGAGTACGCTTCCTTAGTTTAAAGTATGTTTCATTCTTATTACCATAATGAATACAAAAGTTATATATATTATGTAATACATTTCTAAACAGGAGATAGTCAATAGTTAACTTTGGACTTACATGAACTTCACAGAATGCAGTGTTGTACTCCATTTTAAAAAGTGGCTGTCAAAAGCATATAATGCTGTATAAGTATCTCAGTGTGGCTCTAAGTCAGGGGTGGCCAACCCATTTAACAAAGAGAGCCAAAACAGAGGAAAAAATATGAAGAGCTGCACCAGAATTGTCAATCAAAAAAAATTGTTTTTTTTTTAAAAAAGGAGGCTGCACCTTTAAGAGAGCTGCCATCTTGGGTGCCATTTTTAAAACCCCTCAGCTCAGACCTGGTAAGCACAGGGAAACCGAGGGCTGAGGGGGAGTTGGCGGGGGGCAGGGGCCATTGGGTGCAGAAGCTGCTTCACAAGCTGCATTTTTGTGGGGCAAGAGTCGCATGTGACTCGCAAGCCACGGATTGGCCATGGCTGCTCTAAGTACATGGAAAGGCAAAGATTGTGGGCCTTTGCTCCAGACCAGGAGGAATGCCCTTTCCTACCATTATTATGCCAGATATTGTGGCATCATCATTCCCCTATTGTCCTGATTTTGTAACAAAACAACAATACATCTAATAAAGCCAGTAACTGCAGACTGTACCTTTATGTCATGAAGGAAAATTAACTAACATGATTTGCTTTTGTCACCATAAGACTGGATCATTCCATTCTTGAGCAGACTGTAAAGCCCGCCCAAATACAAAAGGCAGATCAATACACAGTGGCATAAGTTCGGAAGAAGAGCATATCACACCAAAGCTCCTCTTTCTACACTAGCTGCTAATTCAATATTGAGTGATTGAGTTATAGACCTAAACAGGTGTAGGTTTAACTGCCTCAGAGATTGCACTGCATTTCAGATAGTTGTAACTAATAAGTGAAGGTGCCTATGTTTGAATTTACAGAAATCAGATTCATAATGATACTTAAATGCCTAAATCTCAGATTCAGATACCTGTATCACAGATTTAGACACAATTTTGATACATTTAGGCCCACTTGACCACCAGCCACCTAGTCCTCTTGTCAGCTAAATCATCTGCTACCTAAATTTTCAGGGTAAAAATCCTTAAGCAGCTAACTTACTGCCTTTGAGCATGACACTGATGCCTCATTCTAGGTACATGGAAACCTATCACTCACCTAAACCATAGTGCAATCTACAAAGGAGGGGAAGAATGGTTAATTTAATACATCTGCAGAGCCTAATCCTGTAGGTATGTAAAATGGCTATCTACCAAATAGAGCCCTATTTAAAATCTGTCTGGGGAAAATGTGATGGTGCCAGTGCCCATCTTTAGGCCAGTGTTTAAATCTCAATCTTTTTTGCTGAAGATATTCCGTTTTGGATAAATATTTAAATAGAGATAGGGTGTAGGAGAGTACAGGACATTCGCTTGGAAGATCCAACCTCTCTAATTATTCTAATTTAATCTAAAATGGAAATAGCAGGAGTGATAAGGAAGCCCCATATCAGATATAAGTGTCTACACAGCACTTATTTCGAAATAGCTATTTCAAATTTGGCATTATTCCTCGTGGAATGAGGTTTACCAAATTCGAAATAAGTGCTCCACTATTTTGAATTAATTTTGAAATAGCTGTTTGGCTGTGTAGATGCTAGTAAAGTTATTTCAAAATAACGGTTGTGTAGACTGTTTGCTGTGTAGACATACCCTATGAATCCAGCTACACAAAGGGACATTATGGTTTCCGAATGCGCAATCCTATTCAGATTTCCCCTTTACAAATTGCATGTCAGTATTGCATTATAATTCAATAAATTGCCAAGTGGATCATTTAATCAAAATTGGGAACCACTCATCAACATTTGTTAGCCCACTTGATTCTGGGTACTTCAAGAATGCCACATTTCAAATAGATGATTTTCATCTTCACATCATGCAAGGCCATTCTCTGATCATGCGTTGAATATGTAGAACATACTG